TTACCCAGCAGCTGGGTTAAGGTTGGGTTATTTTTGAACCCAGCACTTTTTAGAGTGTAGAATAGACCTACCCAAATATCTTACAGGGACTTTGTCCCGTCTCACTACCTCCACACAAACTGGAGCAGAAATGTATCAAAACGATTTAAACAAATAAAAATAGCCATTTACAGGGTTCGTACGGTCATGAAAAACCCAGAAAGCTTTGGAAAAGTCGTGGAAATTTATTTTACAAATCTCTATATAATAGAATATATGTTTAATCACTCTAATGAGAGTTAGTTGGCATGTAGTTGTAAAGTTGCTTATAGTCGATTGATTAAGGGGACCATCAAAATAAAATATAACCATATAAAACATTGCATGTTTTTTCAGTTGTAGTATAAAGCTCACATCAATTAATTAACATCAGCTCCACAGGAAACACTCAAATAACACTCAACATCTAACCACTCGCAAGCTGTAGTAAGATACTGTGCAGATCTTAAATAAACAATGTCAAGATATGATACTGTAGCGAATCAGCTCAAGGGGGAAATATTAATAATTAATCACAACTAGTTATAATTAATTATAAATATTTAGATCTGTAAGTAAGTATTACTTGACTTCTCAGGGTCAACTGTCTGACAATTCTAAGAACGTTAATTTCCTGGTTAAGGGAAATAACTTTCTTACTGTACAATTCTACACAGAGCTTGTGTTGAATATAACTTTTAAGATCAAATTGGACTTTTTTGGTAAATTTTATATATTGTATAAAAATATTACACAAAAACACTATTATACAATAGTTGTACAATTAGTTAATAGTTAAGTTCTTTACAAACTATTCTGGCATGACAGTAAATAAACCACAACATTAACACTGATATTATAACATTTATCAGAAACATATGTGTGAAAGAATGTGAGCATGTGTATGAATGACAGTGTAAACTCCATTTCTACTAAACAACAACACAGAACAAGCATTTAACATTTTATTTTTTTTACAAATTATACACTTACAGTTTGTTTCATAGTCCATGAATACAGATCAGGCATCGCTGCCAATTTTCATGATCTCTTTAGCATAATTGATGTAGTCATGAAGAAGCCCCATCAGCACAGCAAAGGCATGTGACATCTTTTACATTATCCAGGGCAGCCTCCTCCTTTAAAACCACTGTTGCATCAGTTTAGGGTTAAGGACATTCTCCTCTTTGACCAGCATTCATCTCAGTCACCGCCTGTTCTTCATCAGTGGCCTAAAAAGAGAAGAACATTTGAAAAAAGAAAACATTTAATTAAAATCTATCCATTTTCAGATGGAGGTGCATCCACATCAGTAAGGATAGATAAATAGTCTGTTTTATAATTTCAACCACTTTGTGTGGTTGTTTAATGTCTCTGTAATGGCAGCACTAGTGTGAAGGCATGTAATATTGTTTAAATAAATATATTGCTTTCAGAAAGCTACTTCTTTACTGAAACATTAAAACAGAGATGACATGAACGAGTGGTTCTATCATAAGCCTGCATAAAACAGTATACAATATAAGAGACAATATACAAGGACAGTAACAACATAACAATGACCTGAAGGATACGTGTGTTCATTCAAAGAAAGATTTTCCTATGAATTAATTAGAGAAGAGTCCATTTTTACTGTGCATTGTATCTCTTCCTATGGAAAATGTACTGATTTTCTCAACCCACATTCCTTTGGGCAATAAAACCAGTGATATCAGCGTCGGTTGCCATGGTGACCAGGGGCCTGGTGTCGTTCGCAGACATCCTGGCACCCATAGGTTTATTGCGTGAGGGGTCTGTGACTATTTGTTAATCTAATGAAAAATGGTGTGTCTGATTGGTCCAGATGCTACAATAGTCCATTATTCTGTAAATGAAGTAGATTCAATATGGTGTTCTTTGTGTGTTATATTATTCATATATAAATATTGGCATGGATTACTTTTACAATAACTCTGTATTTTTGAAAATACTGATTATCTAGACTTTCAGTGGATTAACAACAAATTATGAGAGAAAATTAAAAATATCTTCATTTGTGTTCTAAAGATTGACAGAAGTCTTATAGGTTTGGAATGACATGAGGGCAAGTAAATTATTTTTAGTGTGAACTATTCCTTTAAGAAAGGAAGACCAAGAATTATAAATACAGGCTTCATAGAAAGTGTTACCTAATATTATACAAAAACACTATTATACAATAGTTGTACAATTAGCTAATAGTTAAGTTCTTTACAAACTATTCTGGCATGACAGTAAATAAACCACACAGAAACATTTATTTTCTAAAAATAACACGTCAATCTCAAAAGAATGATGCTCTCCTATGTCTCTGGCTTTCACCATCTACAAAAACAAACATTCTTTTACTCTTAGTAAAAAAATTAAATTGATAACATGATGAAAATTATGAACTTTACTTGCCTTAAACCATCTTTCCCTCTCTTCTGAAGAAGCTGAGAAAATCGCCTCCTCACACAAGCAGACGGCTGAATTGCTTCGCCGGGGCGAAATCATGACGTCATGATTTTAGTACTAAAGTTGCGCAGGCGCTGTGAGGGGAAAACAGGGGAACTGAATTCGCCGGAACACCGGCACAATGAAGACACAAAGCTCAACATGTCTGAAATATAACATGCAAAACATTACTTGTAACAATTATCACTTCATCAGCCTCAAAATAATTAGGCTTGTCTTTATTACATAACGCCGTTCCCTTTAGGACACTACATTCAATTTAACCGCGAAAAAAAGATAACGAATTAACATGTAAATATGTTAATAACCCTTTCTTAACACCTCAAAAAAATGTAAATATTGTAAAATCTTATGTAAATATGACATAAGACACTCACTGACGTTATATTAAAAGCACCTCTTCCGTTCAGTAAAAGAGGCCGTTAAGACTATTTCTGAGGCGAAATCCACGTCCGCGTATTTTTCAATATAAGCTCTTTTCAGAATATTTCCGCCTTCCATGATATCTCAAGATACTACCGGACTCAAACAATTAATGATGACTTTACATTTTTAATCTTTACTTACCCTAAACCGTCTTTCACTCCCACTTGCTTCCATCTGAAGACGCTGAGAAAATGGTGGCTTCTCGCACTGGTGTCGTCGAGATACGTCCGATGTTAACGTGACGTGCGTGCTCTCTTTCACGTCCGCGTTCCCAACCCAGCACCGCTGGGTTATTGACCAAGACCAATTTTCAACCCAAAATTGGGTTAAAACAACCCAACGTCCTTACCCAGCGGTCTCAACCCAGCATTTGGTTTGATAAAAAAAAACAACCCAGCGTTTTTTTAGAGTGTGTAGTTAACATGAACTAAGAATGAACAATACTTCTGCAGCATTTATTAATGTTAATTTCAACATTTACTAATGCATTATTAAAATCAAAAGTTGTGTTTGTTAACATTAGTTAATGCACTGTGAACGAACATGAACTACAAATGAACGACTGTATTTTCATTAACTAACATTAACAAAGATGAATATATACTGTAATAAATGTATTGTTCATTGTATGCTCATGTTAGTCAATACATTAGCCAACATTAATGAAATCTTATTGTATAGTGTTACCATATAGATGTATAGGCCTACAAATAACTTCAAAAATCAAGTTCAAATACTAAGCTTTGACTAGCGAATGTTTTTCCCCGTCATTAACGCCACATCAAAGGCAGTGCATGCATCGCATTTAGGTTTTCATGAACTCGCAGGTTATAGAGTTTTCTGTCACTATGTGGGTGCTCAGTTTTGTCTGTTATTTGGCCAAAGTATCATATTATAAAAGATTCAGCGCTTCACACAAGCTATTTGACTGTACTTGACAACAAATGCTAAGACACACTTCTCCGCTCCTCAAATACAAAAACAAACAAAAAAAAACATTAGCCTTTATAAATATAGTGTTTCTTGAGTAAAGAAAACGCTGTACTTATTCAATCAACAGTTCTTTTATTTACCTTCAGACTGCAAACAAACTGAGATGCTCCAAACTGCGCGCCACACTTCATTCACGTAGAGCGTTGACTCTACCACGCTACTTGATCAAAAAAGAGCTTCGCTACTGAGAAGCTATTTGATTCAGAAAACTGCAACGCTACCACCATGCTACTGAGAAATGTAATTAAGCTAGTAGCGTCACTACTTGTAGCAACGCTACTGCCTATCACTGCAGAAGTGCTATTAGAATGCTGGGGAAGCATTATCATCTCATGGAGAGAAGAAGAAGAAAGAATGAAGAGGAAAACAGTTTAAGCAATCTTGTTATTTCAGATGAATCATATCTTCACCCCAACACTTGCTATATAAATGGCCTTATTATATTTGGAGTGTTACATTCCTTTTAACAGTGGATATTTTGGGATGTGAGAACCAGTGATGTGGGAGGCATTGTGTGTGTAGAGAATGCCAAGAGTGTGCAAAGCTGTCATCAAAGTAGAAGATGGCTAATTTGAAGAACTGAAAATATAAAACAATGGCTACATAATTTCAGTGACTTCAGTATTAACATACAATGTTGAAAACAATAAAAATAAAGAAAAACCACTGAATAAGAAAGTGTCCAAACTTTTGACTGTTAGTGTATTTATTTATATTAATTTATAAGTAGAATATTAATTGTCAAATTAAGTATATCATTTAATTCATATAAAATAAGTATAATAAATAATTAGCAGCAAAAGCCGAGCAGTTTTCTCTCATTTTCACCAGTTTGTGTGAAAGTGAAATGTTGATACTAAATATACTTAAATTTGACTTTAAATAGAAAAGGATTATTAAAAAGTTAAATCTAATGAATCAATATTTGTATATTATGTAGTTTTATGCTTGTTATACACTTCTGCGATAAATTGCAAGTTGAGTCTGTGTGCTTTTTTCTACAGAATGTTTTATTTATCTTTTCTTTTTTTAAACAGAGAAAGGAAACTGATATGTTTGAGCTGTAAAGCCTCATTAAATGTCTCCTCCCCAAATCGAGTTAGTATTTCACAATCACATGACATAAAATATATCCTTTAAATCCAAATATTGGAATATTATAAACGCATAACCAAGATAGCACAATACAAGATATATACAAAATGGTAAAAGCAACTATATACTGGATATTTCTTTATAAAGAAGCTCTATTAATTTTGCTTCCTCATGGAAGGAGATCCATGAGATATGCTGCTGAAATGGTTAAAAGAGCCAAAACAAGTGGGCATGGCACACGCACAACTCTTTAAATGTTCACCTGAACATTTAATGTCAACACTGAATTCTTGCAGTCCAGTTCACACAGCTATTCTTCATACTTCATCCATTCTGAAGCTTGTTACAACAGCCTGTCATGCTCAATTTAGGCCTTCACACTCAGAGCAACAGAGTAGTAAGCTAGAGTGCATGTTTACTTGTATATGGCTGCATCCCAAATCGCATACTATCTGTCCTAAATGAAGATGTCCCAAATCATAGTGCATTGAAAATGGTATAAAATTAACACATAGGGTGCCCCAAATGCATATTATTTCTAGTAGATTTTTAAAGTGTGCATCAGTGTATTCTTTTTGTGTTATAATTGCCCACAGCCCCATGCAGAATGGAAACAGAGGCACTCCCAATTGAGTGTTTAATTTGTAGAATATATGTCAGGGCCAAAGCAGCCACAGCATTTTTAAATGTATGAATCTAAAAGTTAGGTAGAAAGAAGAATTGAGCTACATGTGAATACCAACAGCTTTTAGGACAGCATAAGCATTTGCATTGGGAAGCAGCCAAAACAGTCCCATGACATTTTTTAAAGTATTTGGCTGTAAATTTGTATGAATTCATATCATCTGTAAAGCCCCCACTTATGGTTAGGTTTAGGGGTGGACCTTCCTGGTCATGTTTTACTTACACGTTTTTATACGAGTCAGATCAAACAAATATATACAAAACTGCTAACATTACTTATGAATTCTCATGACATTGGGTTGACAACCTATGTGTGTACTGTATGTGTTGTGAATGTGGAGAATGTGTGAGTCTGTGAAATGTGAGTAGGCTGTGTGTGCTGTTCTTGATGTAAAAGATACCGCTTTCTTGTTACTTGCTTGCTTTGACAGATGTAGTGCTTGAGTCTACTGAGTGAGCATGATCATGTATTTGAGCCCTTAGTACATGGCATCTTCATACATGTCTGTTCTAAGGCAAAACAAGATTCCTCCACCCAGCATGAAGATGGTGGCACCCCAGCCCAACCCGTAGCCCCAGTTGAACTCATGATATGTTTGCAAGACTTTGCCATCGATGAATTTGATTGGGTAAAGAACCAGAGCACATGCCTGGAGGACCACTGCAAGAGAAAAAGACAATGTATTAGAAAACATGAATAACACAGGTATAAATAATGTATTTTCTGTTCAGCAGAATAAAAAATTCATACAGGTTTGGTTGAGTAAATTAATTTTCATATTTTGGGGGGGTGAACTGTCCTTTCAAGGGGTGGTGATAGAAATGATGTAAAGTAGAGTACCTAAAACCTTTTAACCATGGTAAAATTACTCTAAAACACCCTTGTACTGCTTTTATAAAATGACAACAACAACAACCGTAACATTAAACACACCAATGTTAAATAAATATTTTAACTCATTAATGATAAAAAATCACAACCTAGTCTTTTGCCAAAAGCATGGTGCCATTGGATGCCCTGAGTAATCTGGAAGGATTGCATTTATATGCAATAACAGGATTTTAAAAACAATTCTGTAAGACGCATAAGTGAAGTGATACATGTGCCAGAATGATTCCTCAGTCTAGCATGTGTCAACATATCGTAGCTGCATTCTGAATTCTTTATGCGTTTAAAACAGCTTTTTGGTAAGGCAACCACAGTTGCAGTACTCAAGTTTCAATGTAACAAATTCAAGTATGAAGTGCTAATCGATTTGCGGGTATCTGGTGCAAGTGAAAGAGTTGTGTATCATCTGCATGTACTTTTAAAGGTAACATGCATGTTCTACAAATATCAAGAATTCATAAAAATCATTAAGTTTTTGAGGAGTCTCACCACATGACATTTTAGAACCTGAACTGACCTTGCATTATCATAAAAAGGTCTAATTATATATAGTTTAAAGGTGAAGTTTGTGTGATTTGTTCGTTCATTCATTCATTAATTAATTAATTCATTCATGTATACATGTCAAAACACATTCTCTTAATACATTCTCTTAGTTTGTTAATTGAGTACTTTGGTATGCCATTCATGGGTTTATTCTCCCTAAAAGTGTAAACATTGAGCCTCCCAGGAACCATCAAAACATTTAGAGAAGGAATGTCCAATTCTGCTAATCAAAGTCTTTAGGCATATTAAAAACTTCCAGGCAGTTGGTTTGGCAGAAGTTGGAACCAAACCAAACTTAAACTGCAGGACAGTGGCCCTATAGGAGCAGGTTTGGATGTGCCTGAATTAGAGTGGTTCAATCAGATCTCTTTTTAGCTCAACCCACAGTAAGAGTTTGGGGCATGGCCACTGTAGCAGGCTGAGCCAGAGCGTGTTTAACCAGTAAGGGACCATGGGTGATGTGTTACATGGAAAAAATTCTGATTTGGTTACATGTGTGCAAGCTAAAATTCAAAAGACTTGCCAAAATATGCAGATAGACAACGTGGTAAAACACGGGGTAAACATTGACAGTGGTTTTACAAGATGCAGTTACTTGATGGTATAAAGTCAAGTTTTTGCCACACATTAACTCTCCTTTCAAGCCCCGGATAAGAGTAATGCTAATGGTGTGGTGGGTGTAGTGAGTGTAGTATAGAAGTAAAATAATAACAAATGTGTTTAAAGCAAAAACGCATGTTGAATTGAATTGCACTAACTGGGGGAAAAAAAAATTAATAAAAAACAATCAAACAAAAACATTGGATTAACAGTGCTTGCATTTTAATGCACTGTATTTTCAGGGCTTGCATTTTTACACTTTACAAAAATGCTTCCACAAATGAAGCGGTTAAAATTCAGCAAAACATTCAACATTGCACATCAGGGAACTGCAGGAATAGCAGTAGAGAACCAATGCATAATCTCCATCTGCTGTTAGTCAGCATGCCAGCAGGGGGTGCTGATGAAGACCAAAGCAACAGTTAGAGGAAGGGTGCATCTCAATCAGCTCTCAATTAGTAGTCAGAGCGCTGATCAGGAAGTCGGCCATTTTAAGGGCGGTCTCAATCACAAAATTCTTCCAGTGCACTGGAATGTTCACTCACTGAAAAATCTCACAGTGCACCACAAAAACCAGGGAGCACCCCAAGTCATGGTTGTGGCTAGAAGGGATACAGCAAAAACCCGAAGCTAACAAACGATTGAATAAATTGAAATTGATTGTGTTTCATTAACATCTTCACCTACCCCAACCCTAAACCTACCCCTTACAATAATGCAAAAATACTAATTATTGTCGTACAGTGTGAGAAAAATTACACTATATTGATGTGCCCATGCCCAGTAGTTTTTGCTGTATCCCTTCTATCCTTAAAAAACTGACTTGAACCCCAAGTCATTCATTTACAAAAACAGAGTTGCAGAAATGGAGCAAGCAGTAAGTATTGCTATGATTATAAGGGCCTGTATATATGCGGAAAAGCTGATAAAGTCACAAATTCAAAACATATATAATAAATCAAAAATGTAAAAAAAAAAACACAATCAATCAACTTCATTACAATGCTGCAGTTTTAATTAAGCTATGAGGTAACACTGTAATTTATCAACCTTCAAAACTTCTTGGTTTGTATACATTGCAAGGCGCTTTTGATAAAAATGCCTACCAAAAGCATATATGTTGAAGTAAACTACCCACATGCTAAAGTTTACCTCCTCGGTTTTGAGATTTGTGTAAAGTCCTAAGTATGACCAATAATGATAATGATAGTAACATTACATGTTAAAAACAGGAGGAGATTGTGTCAATCAAATAAATATAGAGCACTGCTGTTTGAGTTAGCATGTCTCCCTCTGTAAACAACAAATTAATGAGAGAAACTGAGCATGCTACCATGCTGCAGGGTCTGGCACAGTATGTGTAGAAGACCTGCCAATATGACACGCACACACACAGAGGCTTCCCTCAAGGTCTTCTCACACACTTCTGCTTCTCTGTGCGAGATTGAAACAGCTTCTTGGTGCTGCTGAGTAATATACCGTAAAGCTCCTATGAATATGTTTCATATAAATATGCTAATGCCAACCAACAACCCCAGGATAACACACTGCTTTCAGATCAGCTTGACACATAGCTTGACACATCTGCACCAGACTGCATTATATACAGTTATGACAAAATATCACAGCACATGTTTCTAAATGTGAAAATTGTCATTTGAAAACTTCTGAAAGTTATGGCTGGAACTACTATTACAGCTCTTCACCAGCCTTAGTCAGATCACATTCTGAACTAGCTACAGTATGCTAATGTAATTGCCCAAACGCATTTAGCTATCATTACTGTAAATGATCACACTATCTGTGCACTGCTCACCAGCGCCACAAAATGTGAAAGAGTGTTGCAGGGATAGCATGATCATATATTGAAACATTACCCAAAGGTAAAAGGATACTGTTAACGGTGTTAAAGAACAAATATTAAATCACAGAAATAAACACGTTTTCCCAACCCTAATATGCATATATACAAGCCAAAAACAACGGAGAACAAAAAAAAAAGTGTACACCTCATACGTGCATGTAAATGGAAACACTTCTTGTCTTAAGCAGCAATAAAGAACTTTCTGTTGTAAATGAGTTATAATATGAAATTAATTATCGATTAATTAGCCGAATTTATGGTCCCACTGTATTTATTTATTTCAAGTACAATGTAAAACATGTATATAGTAGTCAACATTTGAAGTAGATCAAAAAAGTTGTCCTAAGACAAGAACAGGTATTGTTTTGGTTTTAGGACAACTTTGATGAAAGGCTTTGATCCACTTCAAATGTTGACTACTGTATATCAAATGATTAAATTAAACGTTAAGGCTCTGCTTGTTTCCTACAGCCCTCTCAAAGAGTAGGTTTATGGGATTTTCTTTGTGGGGAAACAAGTTAAGGGGTCATGAAATGCAGTTTTAATTATTGTATTATTTTTCCTGAGGTGCAATTTTAAGTTTATTTTTCCCCCCAACAAAAACATCGTAATTTAGATATAAATGGACATTTTCTACCCTGAATTTAAGTCTGCTGTGAGACTTCAGTGTAAATGAAATCATCTTTGCATTATGAAATGAGCATTTCAGTGCTGCACTGTAGCCAAACACAGTTGTCTACTGAGCACGACACAATGATCTCCATATTGCAACATGATTTCTGCAATCTTACAAATACTTTCATCATAACTAACAGTAAAAACACAATGTAAATAAGAGACTTGTTGAGCAGTGTAAACTGTCATTGATTATAAAGGGAGTTTTGGTGAAAATGCAGGAATCAAATCACTGATACACTCGCTGATCTTGAATTGACTGCTACAGCAATCTTTGATCGCTCTCTGTACATAAAATAATCACAATGTAGATAACAGATGGTAAACCACTTTGCAACTAGGAAAGTCTGTACATGAACAATTTTAATCTCCATTTCATGACCACTTTTAAAGGCAGAAGTTGCTCTGTCTATTTTCAGCTGAGCCAACCAACCCTGTTATGTAGACAACTACATCACTCCATCCAACATGGTGGCCTGCTAGCTAGATAGTTAGGTAAAAATTAAGAAAATATATTGGTCATCTCTGTTGGTTTAACTTTTTTTTTTTTTTTAATAAACAGATTTTAGGGAAAAGTGAAATAGTTTGAGGCAAAGTAGTTGAAGCAGTTGAGGTAAAGTAAAATCATTTCTAAGTTGGGAAGAAGAATTGGTAAGATTGGAAAGTCTCCTTTTAGTGTCTGGAGAAAATATATCATATATGCAACACAGGTATACAAACTAAATATTAATATAGTAAAAGTGAGTTTTGTATTTGTGTGCCATACAAAATATATTCTAGGATGAAGTGATTTGAGAGATAAATTTAGCATTTAATTGTATGATTTAAGTATGCCCTATCTAGCATCTTGACTATTTTATTTATCTATTTTTGCAGTTGGAGATTGGATTATGACAGGTTGTTTTGCAGTTATTTAAAGTACAATGTATCTATATACATGTATACATGTATCTATATCGAAATAAATATTCATGAGTGCAATTATATTTTTCATCTTTTTGAGGGAGTTGTGACTATGGACCAAAATCGGTAACACTTTATAATAACGTTCATTAAGAAATCACTAACAAACTTTATATAATGCGTA